AGAAATGGTTGGAAAAATTTCTTCGAGTGTTGTAAGTGCTCCCACGAAATCTATAAGTGCTTTAGAAGGAGAAAAGGAAATACCTATAGATCGGCAATAGTTTTTTAAAAGATTCAACATTTTTAGATACGTTTCTTTATTTTTATTTGGCAATAATATATATGCGCAAGGAATTATTGTATGATTAATCATTATATGAATAGTGTATAATTGCTTAAATAATAGAGGACACGAAAAAAATGTGCCGTCCATCAAAATTTAATCGGCATTAGAGAGACTTTCAAGTAGTTCATGTGTAGAAAATATTAATAATTCATTATTTTCATTACAAATTAAAAAAGTCTTATTATCAAGTGTTAATTTATAATCACCGTATAATCGGATATCAGAATTTATAAGAGGCAAAGGTGGTCTCAATGATTTAATAACACGATTCATAATAGTTTTGACAGATAGAAATGTTGGTAGAGTATTAGAATAGAGTTGAACGAGAGGATCCATTTTTCTAATACGCATAACTTGATTATATGGGTACGCTCGAATTTGTTCTTTAAGTTTATTCATAGTTACTAAAATTGCATAATGCTCTTCCTCAGATTCAGAAGGATGGTTGTGAATATGTGTCAATGTAAACTGCATATTTAATAATGTACCTCTTGCCGTACAATGACAGTCTACATTTAAATAAAATTCCAAATTTATGATGAACATATAGAAATTTATTTGAATATAACAAATTACGTTTTTTTTGGGAAAGAATAAAATTATATGGCTGTTCTACATTTAAATATGAGAATTGAATGTTATTAACTGATATTGGTAAAGTTACAGAGCTATCAGCTGCAATGGAGATATCGATTACAACTTCTTCATCTATAAAACTTTCGTCCAAAAATGGTAAAACATGGAGATCATCCTCTCCATCTTCTTGTTCATGATTAATCACAGAAGTTACAATCTCTTCATTTCTACCCATCGATTCTTAAGGAAAAATATATTTTTGATTAATTATGATAAAATTAAAAAGAAAATATAGTAACAAAATTTTGATTAACTATGATAAAATTAAAAAGAAAATATATTAACAAAATTTTGATTAACCAAAATCAGCATCTTCTCGAATAGGATTGATCATCGAGGATATCGACTCCGGACCTTCTTCAAGGGTCCCAGAAATCCCCACAGCACCTCCATCTTTTTGTTCATGATTAATCACAGAAGTCACAATCTCTTCATTTCTACCCATCGATTCTTAAGGAAAAATAATTTTTGATTAATTATGATAAAATTAAAAAGAAAATATATTAACAAAATTTTGATTAACTATGATAAAATTAAAAAGAAAATATATTAACAAAATTTTGATTAACCAAAATCAGCATCTTCTCGAATAGGATTGATCATTGAGGATATCGACTCCGGACCTCCTTCAAGGATCCCAGAAATCCCCACAGCACTTCCATCTTCTTGTTCATGAATATTCACAGAAGTCACATTATCTTCATTTCTTCCCAATGATACTTAAGGAAAAATATATTAATTTGTTTCATATTATATTGTAAAATACTTTCTTCTTGCAGTCAAGTACTTGCAAATATCTAGAAAATAATAAATTACATCTTGTATATTAAAATCTTGCATATTAAATAATTTACCATTGCATTCTGCTGTCAGAGTAAATACATTATTTAATGTAAATCCTCTACCATGGCAGGTTGGAGAAGTACAAATATAATAAATTTTACATTTATAATATTTGGACTTTCGGTATGAAGTTGGTATCATTATTTAAGATTGCCACAATAACAGTATTGAAGTAAATACTTTAAAATATTAATATGTAAAAATTTTAATTAAAACAATTACCTTTTCCTTTAAGGAGATAAACAAATATACAATATTGATGCAAATTAATGAGATAACCAAAATTACAGTATTGAAGTATATACTTTAAAATATTAATATGTAAAAATTTTAATTAAAACAATTACCTTTTTCTTTAAGGAGATAAACAAATATACAATATTGATGTAAATTAATGAGATAACCAAAATTACAGTATTGAAGTATATACTTTAAAATATTAATACGTAAAAATTTTTATTAAAACAATTACCTTTTCCTTTAAGGAGATAAACAAACATACAATATTGATGTAAATTAATGAGATAACCAAAATTACAGTATTGAAGTATATACTTTAAAATATTAATATGTAAAAATTTTAATTAAAACAATTACCTTTTCCTTTAAGGAGATAAACAGATATACAATATTGATGTAAATTAATGAGATAACCAAAAATACAGTATTGAAGTAAATACTTTAAAATATTAATATGTAAAAATTTTAATTAAAACAATTACCTTTTCCTTTAAAAAGATAAACAGATATACAATATTGATGTAAATTAATGAGATAACCAAAAATACAGTATTGAAGTAAATACTTTAAAATATTAATATGTAAAAATTTTAATTAAAACAATTACCTTTTCCTTTAAGGAGATAAACAAATATACAATATTGATGTAAATTAATGAGATAACCAAAATTACAGTATTGAAGTATATACTTTAAAATATTAATATGTAAAAATTTTAATTAAAACAATTACCTTTTCCTTTAAGGAGATAAACAGATATACAATATTGATGTAAATTAATGAGATAACCAAAAATACAGTATTGAAGTAAATACTTTAAAATATTAATATGTAAAAATTTTAATTAAAACAATTACCTTTTCCTTTAAGGAGATAAACAGATATACAATATTGATGTAAATTAATGAGATAACCAAAATTACAGTATTGAAGTATATACTTTAAAATATTAATATGTAAAAATTTTAATTAAAACAATTACCTTTTCCTTTAAGGAGATAAACAAATATACAATATTGATGTAAATTAATGAGATAACCAAAATTACAGTATTGAAGTATATACTTTAAAATATTAATATGTAAAAATTTTAATTAAAACAATTACCTTTTCCTTTAAGGAGATAAACAGATATACAATATTGATGTAAATTAATGAGATAATCAAAAATACAGTATTGAAGTAAATACTTTAAAATATTAATATGTAAAAATTTTAATTAAAACAATTACCTTTTCCTTTAAGGAGATAAACAGATATACAATATTGATGTAAATTAATGAGATAACCAAAATTACAGTATTGAAGTATATACTTTAAAATATTAATATGTAAAAATTTTAATTAAAACAATTACCTTTTACTTTAAGGAGATAAACAAATATACAATATGGATGTAAATTAATGAGATAACCAAAATTACAGTATTGAAGTATATACTTTAAAATATTAATATGTAAAAATTTTAATTAAAACAATTACCTTTTCCTTTAAGGAGATAAACAAATATACAATATTTATGTAAATTAATGAGATAACCAAAATTACAGTATTGAAGTATATACTTTAAAATATTAATATGTAAAAATTTTAATTAAAACAATTACCTTTTCCTTTAAGGAGATAAACAGATATACAATATTGATGTAAATTAATGAGATAACCAAAATTACAGTATTGAAGTATATACTTTAAAATATTAATATGTAAAAATTTTAATTAAAACAATTACCTTTTCCTTTAAGGAGATAAACACAAATTCAATATTAAAGTAAAGACTTTTTCTAAGAAATATTTTGAAATTTTGAAGCGAAATGGTATAATAACACAAATTCAATATTGAAGTAAAGACTTTTTCTAGGAAATATTTCGAAATTTTGAAACGAAATGGTATAATGACAAAAGACAGACAAACGGATCGGACCGATACCAAACCCGCAATTACTATTATTAAAAAATGTTAAAAAGCAAATAAGCTAAAATGGCTGTCAAAATGGCCCCTATAAGTTTGAAGCGAGAGATTTTCAATGACATATAATAATACCTAGACTGACGATTCATTCAAAATACGTATGAATGCAAATCAGCTGGAGACGCCATTGACGCCATGTTGGTTAAATCGTGATAAAATTTATAATATAAAAAAATATAATGAATATCAATTATAATATCCTATAAAATATTCCATGGATATTCTTAACTATTTAGCAGAAATTCATGCAAAATTAAGGGAATCAATTAAAATATCCTCATGGCTATTCTGATGTATTAAGCAGAAATTCATGCAAAATTAAGGATCAATTAAAATATCCTTTCAAATATTCTGGATAAATTATGATTTTACAATAATATTTATAATATAAAAATAAATGCTTAGCTTCAGATACATTCTTAATAATATAACATTTTTTTTACATATTATAAATAAAGTATTATAGTATTTTGTTTAATCTTCTTAAAGTCCAATTCAAAATCATTTTTATATTATTCATAATATTTATTATGATTAAAGAAATGAAATACTTATGAATTTAATATTTTAAGGAGTTAAATTGAATCTTATTAACTATTTAACATTTAGCAACCATATAGCAGTTATGGAGAAAATTTAAACCATTTTTACTTTTAGTAGGATATCCTTACCCTATTTATTTTTTCCAATTAGTTTTATTTTATTTATTATTTTTAATAAGTTTTTATCATTCCTTTTTGTAATATTCAATTTTTTATGTTTATTATTGATTTACTATATTTCTTAGGATAAATTCTGTATTGCAAACAAGAGATATATCGCATACAACTTGTTCTTCCTTACATTATATTATCCAGTTTATTTTATCAATAAAACAATTATCATTAATATATTTTTTTTCAAACAGATAAAATAAAGATTAATAAAAATAAAATATTTTAAGACCTCATTTATAAAAAATGACCTTAATTTTAGATCAATTTAGCTTACTCTTATCTCTTTATTTTTAGAAGAATGGACATATAAATTATATGATGAAAATCAATAATTTTTCAAGATACTAAAGCCTCTAATAATATTAAATGTTGTATCATTACAAGAAATAGTTTATTATAAATTAAAAAATAGATATAATGTACCATAAATTACGAAATTCATTAATATAGCATCCATATTTTATTATAAATAGAAAATAGATATAATGTACGATAAATTACAAAATTCATGAATATATAGCATCCATATTTAAATATATACAGTCATAATATAAATTAAAAAAGATCATGTGCCAATATATTTATTGTCCTGCGAATAGAATGGTTTTCGTCAACTTCTGCCGAATATTGATATTTGAATTTTTGTTATGTTTATCTGCATAATGATATAACCTTATGTTTATATAGTGTTCCACTATTAATGTAATTAATATTTGATAATGACTGAATGTAGCCTCCTGGTTTAGCATATGATCTACCAGATCATCAAAAATGTTTGTTTCCATTGCTTTAGAAATAACAAATGATACTATGCATTTAAATATAAATGACTTTTTTATTTGATTATTCTTTTCAAAAATATGAAATGCACTTTCTACTAGTTGACATAATTTAGATACGCTCTTTGAAGGGAATATTAATCCTTGATTGTTTTTTATTTTAATTAAATTGTAGCTCTCATTGTCTTCACAAGTTTTATCGATCATAGCAGATATACAATTATAACATTTTACCTTTTTTTCAGATATAAGTTGACGTATTATATAACCAGATATATATGTTGCAACATTATCAAGGTAGAGTGATAATTTTGGGATATTTGGCACATCTATAAATGATATATCTATAGGATATATATGGTCATCATCATTATCATTTTTTTGATAATCTCCACAAATAAGGTTAGTATTATCGATTGGAATACAATTACCTGTTGTTAATGCTTCCATTTTTCCTATCAAGACGGCTCTAACGGCAGATCGTAATTGATAAGCGGATGGATTATTGTTAAACCCTCCTCTGCTGCATAAACAACTAAAAAATAGTTCAAGATGATCTTGGGAGGTTTTGTAGGCTAAAACGTATCTAAAATATGAAAAATAATTAAGAAAATTAATAATAATTAAGGTTAGTCTTAAGAGGTATGCAAATATTTTAAAATAAAAATGAAAAAATACCTGAGTTTGAAAAGTAACTAAAAAAATTTATAATAATTAAAATCAGTCTTAAGAGGTATGCAAATATTTTAAAATAAAAAAATACCTGAGCTTGAAAAGCAACTAAAAAATTTTATAATAATTAAAATCGGTCTTAAAAGATATGCAAATATTTTAAAATAAAAATGAAAAATATATATAAAATACTTGAGTTTGGGAATAGGTCCTAATAATAATTCATTCCCAATACCCAGAATACTTTTCATTGATGTTATTAACCCCATGATGCAGGTTTTTCTATTTGATTCACCTACATATCTTCCATCTTCAAATTTTAGAGCTTTAAGGGTATTAATACATTTTTCAAAAAAATCCTTATAATAGGGAAGGGATCTTTTTGATAATGGAGCCTTAAACCCTTTAGCACAAATATTTCGAGTATTTAAGAAATCAAACATTCTATAAAAATTTTATTAAGATATTTATTTAATACTGATCAATCATTTGAATAAAGTCTACTGTGCCTTCACAGTTTTCAAACCCCTCAATTCCTAGCTCTTGCGCTAAAATAATTCCTTTAGCCACTGAGCTACTAAAAACTTGAACGGCATGTTTAACCTTTAAAAATAATATTTTAAAAGTATATATTTCTTTTTATTGTACTTTCATTTTCTGCTTATGATACTCAAGATGAGAACAGCCAATTTTATTAGCAGCCCTTAGTCCTTCCTTATCCTGTAAATTGTGAAGATTTTTTATATATTTCCAATTTATTATCTATTTGTAAAAATAACATTAAGGAAATATTTTAAAAGTAATCACAGCTCCATTATTATTATTGATTAAAAATTTTTTATCACCGAGCAGATTTCTAAGTAGCTTCATCAAATGGCATACATCCAATATAACATACACTTTTTCTTCACAATTACTAGGATGACTAAAATATGGAACACAATTATTTGGATTCAAAGAGGCGCCAAGTATTTGACACATTTTGATATTAGTTGAAAGGCCATCACATACCATTGCCTTACAGATGACCCCAGTATCATGTAATAAATGGAGTGCATTAGTTACTATGTTTGATAAGATCTCAGCACTGAGATAAGCTACTAAAAAATATCCTAAAGGAATTTTCCATGTACCATTTAAACATGTTGCCATAAGAAATAAAGCTTTGCTTGCCTCAGGTAGAGATTCGGAAGGTTTTATTCCGTTACCAAAATCTATATATCCATGAAACACTATTTTATACCAATGAATATGTCGCCGAATAGACATTTCATCAAGGCTTAAAATAGTAAATAATTGTACATGCGAATTTGATTAATCTAAAGAACCTAAATAAAATTATTATAATTATAAATTATATAAATTTTAAACCTGGCCTTATTTCTATTTGCTGGCTCCAAGATCTCAATGTAGATTCTGCAGGCATACAGAATTTATTTCTTATATAATTATAAGCTTTGGGTGAATAAAAATGTAATGTGGAAGCAAATTGTTTCATTTGGCTGCTATATTTTATTCTCCGAGGATTATTTAATCCTCCACTATGCAGGTGGGTTTTAATCAAAGATAAAGGAAGTCCAGTAAAAAAAATCCTCTAGTACATCTTCCCCTTCACCATTTATCAAATGTTTACTTTTCAATTTTTTCATTAGATTGTAAATTTAAAATTTTTTTATTTTGTCTATTTTCTCTATCAGAAGATGCCCTCATCTTTTTTCGTAACTTTTGAATATATATCTGTTGATATCTCACTTTCCGTGTTAAGGATGGTATATTTGCAGCATATAAATGATCATCTCGATATTTGGGAAATGTAACTACATTATTATTTGCATCTTTACTATTATTTACAGTTAATAATTTTGTTGAGTCAGTGTTTACACAAAGAAGTTTATTGCTAAGTATATCCTATTAATATTTTTTGAAAAGGTATTCATTCAGGTTAGTGGTTCATTAATATTTAGTAAAAACTCATTTTAATTTTCATCGTTAATCAATAAAATTAAATAAATAAATTACATCAATATTTTAATATAGACTTACATAGTTTATATCTCTATAACTGATTCATCTAAACACCCACACTCAAGAGTATTATGATAGCTGGTAGATGTTTTCTTAAATAAAATATTATTTGTATAATAAAAAAAATATATTGCTATCCATAAAATCAAAACATATCACTGATGTATATAGTAATTTATTAAATATGGCTCACTGGGCAATTATCTCTAAGAGGCTCTTCCAAGCCTTCCACTTCTAGGGTATTAATAGGTATTTCTAATTTTTTCTTAAATATTAATAGGTATTTCTAATTTTTTCTTAAATATTAATAGGTATTTCTAATTTTTTCTTAAATATTAATAATAAAATTTTTATTTATCTTTTATAAAGTATATTTTACCTTTTTAGCTTGAACTGATTCATCTAAGCACCTACCTTCAAGGTAATTTGGATAACTGGTAGATGTTTTCTTAAATAAAATATTATTTGTATAATAAAAAAAATATATTGCTATCCATAAAATCAAAACATATCACTGATGTATATAGTAATTTAATAAATATGGCTCACTGGGCTATTATCTCTAACAGGCTCTTCCAAGCCTTCAACTTCTAGAGTATTAATAGGTATTTCTAATTTTTTCTTAAATATTAATAATAAAATTTTTATTGATCTTTTATAAAGTAATAATATTTTACCTTTTTAGCTAAAGAGTAAATATTAGTAGCATAAGTATGATCATTTTTTTCTATATAGTTAAAATTTGTAGGAGTATTATTTGTATTCGATGGTATTTGTTATCTTAAAAAAATATAATATTTAAAATAAATATATATTCAATATTTATACATCCTGAAGGGGTCTGGAATTAAAAATGGATGGTACAGATCCTTCCTTTAGAATAGCATTACCTGAATGTGAGGGCATAAAACATTCAGGTTTGAAATGGGCTCCACAAAGCTTTGAAAACTTATTAGGAGTGAAATTTTCCTTATTCATTGCCTTTATCCATTTTGATAATAAAATTTCATTCTTGATAGGGAATCTTAAAAAAAATAATATTAATGTCTTAAATTAAGAAAAGAATCTTATAAAATAATAAAACCTATGAAAAGAAATTTTTTTATTAGAAATTAAGCTTGTATTCTTGCATGAAGTACAGCGACTCATATCAATCTATCTTTAAATAAAAACGATAATTATTAATTGAAGATATAGACAATTAAGGATAATTTTAGATGTAATTTTATCAAATAAAGGTAGGGCTGGCCAATTAGATAAATATATATGGGTAGACTAGACAGATAGATTAAGTATAAATATATTATTATTTTTTTAGTTATATTTATTTTCTTATATAATGTTAAATAAAAAAATAAAAATAATAGATATAAATAAACTATTATTATATGATATGATGAATGATAATTATTTTATTTTATATTTTTATATAATTTTATTCCTTATTTAATATAAAATTATAAACTTGGGTAACCATTTCATAAAATTTTTATGTCAGCCTGGACATTTTTAGATATTTGAAAATTTAGAGCTAATATTCTACTGTATAAAAATATATTACAATATGTACATTTATTTCTATTTTAAGAGCTATGTAAATAGAATACTAAATTTAAAAATAATATAGTTAATTAACAAAAATCAGATTTAAATTTTTATAACTTTTGGGCTAAGCATTATACAATTTTTATATATTTTTAAAAACAACCTTCAAAATAAAACAATTTCTAAATCTTGAGTTATAAAATTGATACTTACCTAAGCCCTAGATTGACTTATAATATGAATATTCTTATATAATCTTATCAGATTGCTAACTCGAATAAAAATTGCTGATGCTTACCTACACGTTATAAGCAAAAAGCTTAAACTTATTTTATAATATATGACTATATTATCGCAATAATTGTAGATATTAATAATTTAGAAAATAAAAATAATGCTTTTGATAAAATAAAATGTTTGATTAATAAAATTAAATAAGTAGCAAATTAAATATAAAATTTAACAGATCATGGTAATAAAAACTAACTATGGGAAAATAATTCATATTAATATAACCATAGTATATTGATTAAAATATTTACTTAACAAATTCAAATATGCTATTGAGCAAATTATCATCGATGTAACAAATATGGTGTTTATGGGGCCGAGGATAGGTGCAACCCAGTTGCAAATATATTTGATGCTATTGACAATCTTTTAGATGGCAAATATAATAATGGATAGGTGCAACCCAGTTGCAAAAATATTTGATGCTATTGACAATCTTTTAGATGGCAAATATAATCACGGATAGTTGCATCCTAATTTCAAATATAAATAAAGATAATGACAAAAAATATGCTAATTTTTCATGTGGGAAAATTTAATAAAATTTTAAAATAAATAATAAAAATTAATAATATATAACACCTTATGAATTGGGATCTAACTAAAATTCTTTTATGAATTCCATATAATATCAAATCTTCTAATTACTTTTTATCCTTAAATAATAGATACATACCTAAGTGCTTCAGGGTTTAAAATAAATAGCTGATATTATTCTAACAAAAATATGATCCATCACTTATAATTTCAAATTTTTCCTACATTTATATTATTTGGGATCTAAATTCTTCCTTATATCAAATCTTCAGTAGATTCTTTATTTTATTTTTAAGATAGATACATACCTAAAAGTGTGTCAGGTTAGCTGATATTATTCTAATAAAAATATGATACTTGACTTATAATTTCAAATTTTTCCTACATTTATATTATTTGGGATCTAAATTCTTCCTTATATCAAATCTTCAGTAGATTCTTTATTTTATTTTTAAAGATAGATACATACCTAAAAGTGTGTCAGGGTTAGCTGATATTATTCTAATAAAAATATAGATCTTTCATTTATAATTTCAAATTATTCCTACTCTTATATTACTCTAATTGTTTCAAGTTTTTTAGGCAAAAATTTTTGAAATTTGGCTTTAATAATAAATTAGAATTTATAAAGTGCTCTTATATTTTTTAAAATTATATTTCAGTTAAATTAATGAAGAAAAAAGAAATTAAAATTACTATAAATAATTATTTAGGGTATAGTATAGGAAAAAGTGTTATTATCCTTCAAAAAAGCTTTTTTTTGCTTTAATTCTAACATAAATCAAATTAAAAAAAAGAGATAAAATCAAGTCAACAAATTCAATTGAAATTATTTTATTCATAAAATTTCATTTACAACTGTAAATCTAATAAATACATAAATAAATAATTATAATCATTTAATAATTAAAATATAAAATGCGAATAAAATTTTATTTACAACTGTAATACATAAATAATTATAATCATTTAAAAATTAAAATATAAAATGCGAATAAAAATAAATTTAACAATTTAAACAATACCAATAAGTTTTATATGCTTTTTATTAAATTTTTTGACATTTAAAATGAAACCAGGACAAGCAAGAATCACATAATATGGAGGCATTATCATTTAAAGCAATATAACATTTTTGACAAATCCATGGCTCTGCCATAATCTTCTCATTTATTTCCAGAATCTTTTCCCAGACATCATTTGTGAAATAAAATTTTATTATTTTAAAATCCACATCATCATTTTTTAAAGATTGCATATCATTTTTTTTGGTACTAATGTCATCAGAATTTAACAACTCATTAATTGAATGAAGACTGTTTACATAATTTATTTATGATCCATTCTATTAAATTATTTGAGCCAAACTTGTATATTGAATAATTTGATATCAGAATCAGTGGTGAATCTATTAAAAATATCATAGTTTTATTTAAAAATATTAATTTACCTTGAATTTTATTAAATTATTTGAGCCAAACTTGTATATTGAATAATTTGATATCAGAATCAGTAGTGAATCTATTAAAAATATCATCTAATTTTATTTAAAAATATTATTTTACCATTTGAAAGAATTAATGGTTGAATTTGTATATGTTTGTAATTGGCGGGGAAAAAAAGGGGGTTGCACGCATCCTTTGCGGTTTATGGCGTCTCCAGCTGATTTGCATTTATACGTGCTTAAAAAAGCATTTTAATGAATGAATCGTCAGTCTAGGTATTATTATTGGATTCAGGTCTAAATCGCATTACGTCATACGTCATAATAAGCGCAATTGCCCTTTATCGCTATATGAAACAGCAGAGCTACTCTTGGACTATCTCATCCCATCTAATTGGGTTAAGAAATTTGGGGGTAACCTATGAGATGAGCCCATCCACAATTTTTGGGCAGGCTGCAGTTACCTGTGCGCGCAAGAGGCGAAACCACTTGCTTAAACGCCTACGGGAGATAAGAAGAAAGAGAAAAGCCCGTACCCGATTAAGTAAGATGTATATTATAGGGAGGGGTATTGGTAAATTTTAAGTTTATGGTCTATATTGAATTTGTTTACTAACTCAACTTTGCTTTTTGTAAATCCATGTGAAGGAATCTACTATCAATATTGAGATATAATGTTCATAGAATCTGTAAATAAATATGATTAAAATATAATTTTATCACTTGAAATTTTTCTACCGGATCAATTATAAAATAAACCCTCCATTATAATCAAAATGGAATAAGAATACTTGGTTATCAAATACTTTAGTTTTATTTCAAAAATAATTCAATATAAAAATAAGCATGTTCAAAACATCTTCTTTATTATAATAAATATTGTATAGTTTAACTAAATATTCTAAAATTCTATAGATCTGCGAAAATCCTAGGTTCCCGTTCTAAATCGCTAAAGTAATAATCGCTCTAAATCGCATTAATCAAAATAGCATAAACATACTCACTTTATGTTACCACTAGAAAATTTAAATAATATACTTAAATATTACATACATATATATAATTAATAAATATACCATATATAATTTACCTACATATTATAAAATATATGATGTTATTATAATATATAATCAATATGTTAGTTAAATATATATATATGTTAAATAAATATTTTAAAATATTAAATATATTTATAAATTATTTATATATATATAATTTAGGTATATATTATCTTAAATAATATCGATATACAGTAAAATTAAATATATATATGTTAAGTAAATATATTTATATATTATTTATATTTATATTACATGTATAATAAATATATATACCATATATAATTTACCTACATATTACATATATGATGCAGTGGCGTAGCTACGGGGGTGGTTTTCGGGTTTGGAGATTATTTTTAGATTATAAGTTCAAAAGTCTTAAAAGTGATTTTATATCAATTATATTTTTCTAATTTTGATGTTTGTGGAAGGATATTATATTACTATTGAAATTATTCTGGATAGTATTTTTATAAAGTCATTGAGAATAATCTACTAAATTTTAATAACATATTATTGATGTATTTAAAAAATATATTTATTATATATTTTCGAAGATATGGTTATTTGTAAGATAAACCCGGCCGAAGGCCTTGGCAAAAGGGCCGAAGGCCCGTTAAAGGGGATCTGGGAGGCGAAACCCCCCAGCTATATGTATGGACCCCCTCTAAGGAAAATTCCTAGCTACGCCATTGATATGATGTTACTATAATTTAGGTGTATAACAAGTTTACTACTAGGGAAGCAATCAAAAATTTTTTTTAATTTTTATTAATTAGTAAAACATAATAAAATTAAATTAATATATAAAATTAAGTAGAATTCATCTTTGTTTTTGAGTAAAATGTGCTAAATTATAAAAGTTATTGCTAGATTTCAATTTTTTTAATAATTTTTTTTCAATCGAAATTAAAAATAGATTTAAAATTTAAAAATATTTTTAATTTATTTATTAAAAGTTAGCGGAATATCATAAAATTATTTTATAAAATTCTAAATTAATTGCTTAAAATAATTTGGTGCATCAATGGTATTGTTTATAATTATAAGTGTCATGGCTAAGCGAAGATTTATAAATTCCCTTCATGATAAAAATATCCTTCACAATCTTAAACTGATATCTATAGATATAAATGGGAAAAAAATAATATATATTTTTTTATAAATAAGTTTTAATATTATATATATTTTTTTATTATATTAGTCTTAATATTTTTATAATATATATTTATTTAAATTATATGCTCATACATATGAGGTAAAATTAGCATTTATTTTTATTTTTTAGATAAATAAAACGTTAAATAAAAGTATATCAAAATTTATCTATAAACAGATACAGATACCTCTGAAGTAGTATATAGATACAGATACTTTTTATACAACTCTGATAATCTTAATAAATTTATAATTACAATTATTGAACATTAATTATTGCTTTTAAAAAAGAAAAATATTCTTACTCATGATATTGTTTATATTTTTGTTTGTAGAGCGATAACTATTTTTATCTATTTTTTTGTTAATTATTTTTTTTTGTAGAGCGATAATACTTTTATCGATTTTTTTTTGTTTAATTGTTTTTTATGTAGAGCGATAACTATTTGTATCAATAATATTTTGTTAGTTTTTTTCGCAATAAAAATTTGATTATTATTTTATTATTTGTAGAAATATATATAAAGTGAAGAAAAAATAAAATATAAATAATATAGTTGTTTTCATTCATTTTTTCCCCTTGCTGCAAAATATTTTGTGTTTTAAAAAAAATTGCAAAGAGAAAAGTAAAAGAAAAATTAAAATTAATACCGGAAAAAGAAGTAAAATAAATTTGCGTTAATTAAAATTTATAAAATTACTATCATCCGATTTTACTAATATTTTTAAAAAAGTGATAGTGCCTATTTAAAATTTTATGATAAAAACTTTCTTTCAATGGTTCAATAGATCCTTGTTTTGTTACAATCTTCATCATTAGATTTCTCTCTAATGGGGTTGATAATAAATCTAAAAGCCCTAATCTCAATCATTCAGTGGACTAATTTTTTAAGATGTTTTGTTTATAATTCCATATAAAATTAACTGAAGGTCCAACCCTATTAAATTATTTAAAAATTAATATTATTTAGAGTGACCAAATAGATATCATTATACCTTAGATTAATCTGATTTAAATAATGTTATTATAAAAAAATAATAATTTAATATACAAAATAAATAAAAATATTACCAATAGAGCATTATATGTACCAGGATTAGTTGAATGTTGCTTTTATACAAGTAAATTATAATGGCAAATGTTAAAATATCGAGTGTGAAATTATTTAACTTCTTTAATAAATTTCTAAATGTTA